GTTGTCTATAAATACTGCAATCTGTGACATTATAAAGTGGTGTATAAGTAGATAAAACTAATCTATAGATGTGAATCCATTTGATGATACATCTGTGAGGTTTAAGTTGATTTTAACAGCCCGGGCCAGGTCGGACCGAACATTTCTGACTTGGATTTTTTAAAGAAAATACAGTAAAAATGCTTCACTTTAAGGGCGCAGATTTCTTTAAATGCGATACACCTGGACATTATAAATTGGTGTATAGGTAGATATAACACTAATCTATAGATTTAATCACATTTGAAGTTACATCTGTGTGTTTAAAGTTGATTTTGACCGCCCGGGCCAAGTCGGACCCAACACAAGCCAAACACTTCTGATAGAGACTATGTTGAGAATGTAGAGGGAAAAGGGCTTCACTTTCGAGCCCCTTGTTGTCTATAAATACTGCAATCTGTGACATTATAAAGTGGTGTATAAGTAGATATAATACTAATCTATAGATTTAATCACATTTGAAGATACATCTGTGAGGTTTAAGTTGATTTTAACAGCCCGGGCCAAGTCGGACCGAACATTTCTGACTTGTTTTTTTTTAAAGAAATTACAGTAAAAATGCTTCACTTTAAGGGCGCAGATTTCTTTAAATGCGACACACCTGGACATTATAAATTGGTGTATAGGTAGATATAACACTAATCTATAGATTTAATCACATTTGAAGTTACATCTGTGTGTTTAAAGTTGATTTTGACCGCCCGGGCCAAGTCGGACCCAACACAAGCCAAACACTTCTGATAGAGACTATGTTGAGAATGTAGAGGGAAAAGGGCTTCACTTTCGAGCCCCTTGTTGTCTATAAATACTGCAATCTGTGACATTATAAAGTGGTGTATAGGTAGATATAATTCTAATCTATAGATGTGAATCCACTTGATGATACATCTGTGAGGTTTAAGTTGATTTTAACAGCCCGGGCCAGGTCGGACCGAACATTTCTGACTTGGATTTTTTAAAGAAAATAAAGTAAAAATGCTTCACTTTAAGGGCGCAGATTTCTTTAAATGCGACACACCTGGACATTATAAATTGGTGTATAGGTAGATATAACACTAATCTATAGATTTAATCACATTTGAAGATACATCTGTGTGTTTAAAGTTGATTTTGACCGCCCGGGCCAAGTCGGACCCAACACAAGCCAAACACTTCTGATAGAGACTATGTTGAGAATGTAGAGGGAAAAGGGCTTCACTTTCGAGCCCCTTGTTGTCTATAAATACTGCAATCTGGGACATTATAAAGTGGTGTATAAGTAGATAAAACTAATCTATAGATGTGAATCCATTTGATGATACATCTGTGAGGTTTAAGTTGATTTTAACAGCCCGGGCCAGGTCGGACCGAACATTTCTGACTTGGATTTTTTAAAGAAAATACAGTAAAAATGCTTCACTTTAAGGGCGCAGATTTCTTTAAATGCGATACACCTGGACATTATAAATTGGTGTATAGGTAGATATAACACTAATCTATAGATTTAATCACATTTGAAGTTACATCTGTGTGTTTAAAGTTGATTTTGACCGCCCGGGCCAAGTCGGACCCAACACAAGCCAAACACTTCTGATAGAGACTATGTTGAGAATGTAGAGGGGAAAAGGGCTTCACTTTAAGCCCCATGTCTTCTATAAATACTGCGATCTGTGACATTATAAATTGGTGTATAGGTAGATATAACACTAATCTATAGATTTAATCACATTTGAAGATACATCTGTGTGTTTAAAGTTGATTTTGACCGCCCGGGCCAAGTCGGACCCAACACAAGCCAAACACTTCTGATAGAGACTATGTTGAGAATGTAGAGGGAAAAGGGCTTCACTTTGAGTTCTGTGTTTTCTTTAACTACTGAAATATGAGACAATAAAGTGGTAAATAATTGGATAAAATACTAGTCTTTAGATATAAATAATGTTAGGAACTTTAGAAGTGCTTGGACAGTTATTAACACGTGTCGTGTCAGTCTTTTGACATTCGAGAATATCCATTTCCAGAAAACATCCTGTGTTGGTTTAACACGAATTAGTAAAGGTTAATTACCTAAACACGTTAATTAATGAAAGAAGAGTAGTCAAAACACTGTCGTTTCCTGCCCAGGACATCACACCCCTACACGCTAAGGTCGGTGAGAAGCATTCTAATCAAAGAATACACAGTCAAGACGCTGACTTTTCTACGAGACTCACGGTATGTAGTCATAATCATCAGTTAATTACATTGTTGAAGGTGCATTTTTATTCAAACTCAATTAAATGAGCAAAACTATACGTTTGTGGACATTTGAGATCTGCCTAGATATGCGCGTTTCGTTTTATTATTCTGCAATCCATTTTTAGTATTACCCGCTGGCCCGGCCCGGCCCGACTTTTCTTGGCCCGACTTTTAGGCAATCCCCTCCAACTTTGACACAACTGTGTTTGACTGTATAATATCAATAACAAACTATTGAACATATTTTTGGAAAATGAATGTTAATTAATTTGGTTTGATGTTATTTTGTCAAATTTGTGACAAATACTTACAAGAATCGAAAAAGAGAGAGCATATTTTGGGTCAATTCATTTTTGTTGCTTTTACAAGAGTTTTAAGTTAATTCATTCAACAACAATATTTGGTCCCAGTTTATTGATATTGTTGTTATGTTGTCATGTTTGTTTGTTTGACATGAATTCTCTTTGTTTTTCTGATGAACTACTGAATTTTTAGTTTTCTTATTAACTGCAGGAAAATCATAAACAATATACATAAAATGTATAATAAAACGGAAAGCCACCTGTTTTAAATATTCCAGAACAAACAACATTTGTTTTTTCAGGCCTATGGTAACACTGAGGTGTTGCAGTGTGTAGGGTGTTGCAGTGTGTAGGGTGTTGCTTTGTGTAGGGTGTTGCTGTGTGTACGATGTTGCAGTGTGTACGATGTTGCAATGTGTAGGGTGTTGCAGTGTGTAGGGTGTTGCAGTGTGTAGGGCGTTACTGTGTGTAGGGTGTTGCAGTGTGTAGGGTGTTGCAGTGTAGAGTGTTGCAGTGTGTAGGGTGTTGCAGTGTGTAGGGTGTTGCAGTATGTAGGGTGTTGCAGTGTGTAGGGTGTTGCAGTGTGTAGAGTGTTGCAGTGTGTACGATGTTGCAGTGTGTAGGGTGTTGCAGTGTGTAGAGGGTGTTGCAGTGTGTAGGGTGTTGCAGTGTGTAGGGTGTTGCTGTGTGTACGATGTTGCAGTGTGTACGGTGTTGCAATGTGTAGGGTGTTGCAGTGTGTAGGGTGTTGCAGTGTGTAGAGTGTTGCTGTGTGTACGATGTTGCAGTGTGTACGATGTTGCAATGTGTAGGGTGTTGCAGTGTGTAGGGTGTTGCAGTGTGTAGGGTGTTACTGTGTGTAAGGTGTTGCAGTGTGTAGGGTGTTGCAGTGTAGAGTGTTGCAGTGTGTAGGGTGTTGCAGTGTAGAGTGTTGCAGTGTGTAGGGTGTTGCAGTGTGTAGGGTGTTGCTGTGTGTAGGGTGTTGCAGTGTGTAGGGTGTTGCAGTGTAGAGTGTTGCAGTGTGTAGGGTGTTGCAGTGTGTAGGGTGTTGCTGTGTAGAGCGTAGCAATGTGTAGGATGTCATGTGTGCGCGCTGATTACATTCTTCTGCACAATTAACATACAGCTAGGACTTCCCTCTATTGTTTTCCCCCCAGCATATAATGCGGGGGGATATAGCGATCAGACAGTCTGTCTGTCCGTCCATCCGTCTGTCTGTCCGTCTGTCCGTAATCATTTCCTTTTCTGGGGCAGAACTCGAAAACCGATCAGTGTATTTGATCGAAACTTGGCAAATCCATCAGTCACATACTGAACTGGTGCCTTTTGCTATTTTGGAGTTTTAGAAATTTTTATTTTGTACGTTTCCATGGCAACAAGTTGGACATAGGTTCTATAAGGGTGGTGTTCATTTCCGGTGCGTAACTCAAAAACTGTTAAATACTCTCTTACAAAACTTTGCATGTCTACCAGGCACATACTGAACTGGTACTTTTTGCTGTTTAGGAATTTTATAGGGTGGGTTCACTTATTGAGTATAACAAATAAACTGTTAAATATTTCCTTGCCAAACATTGCATGTCTATATATAAAGGACATACTGAACTGGTGCCATTTGATATTAAGGAGTTTTAGAAATGTTTATTTTAGAATTTCCATTGCAGCTATTTTGACATGGGCTAAGAGAAATTTTGTGTCAGTTACCTGGTTTGTGACCATAACGTGTTAAACTGGGTGGTGGATATAGATGACTTCGTAGACTATACACTTGTTTAGTTATTGTTTCCTTGAAATTTGTCATTTGTTTGCATAAAAAACCCACAAAAACACACTTGTTTTACTTTCCATTTGATATGGATGTATACTTCTTCAAGAACATTCAGCTCTTGCCTCATTACATACAGAATTGCACATTTACTCGTGGTTACTTTACAGACAGCAGGCGGAGGGATATGTCATCTTTCTGATGACTCTTGTTTCAACTGTAGATTATCTCTAAAGAATTGACAATTTACTCACCTACTTTCAGCAATAAATATTTGTGTCGTATTTATTTTCATCTATTCATTAATTTATTTCAACTTTCAGGCTGTATTTTAAATCTGATTATTATTAATTTTGTTACTTTGATGCTTTATTTTAAGTCAGAAGATGCAGGCGTAACTGGACATTCGTTACAAATAATTATACTCATCGGCTTCGATGGCTCGTACATTATTTGTAACGAATGTCCTGTTACTTGTGTGCTGTCCTGAACTTAAAGGGCATGTAGGTTCAAAATCTGAGTCGTCTCGCCAGCACTGCTTTTATTAACCCAAGTAATCACCAGATACCAATTTGTGCTAAACACAAGTCAAGATTATAGTCCATCATAAACAAATCGTTGTTGCCCTTTAAGTGACAAATATTGACAAAACTAATATTTTATGTTTCTTGATTTAGGTTATTATGTGGCCGCATTTCAGACGGAATCAACAAAAGCCTTGACCTTGGAGGCGATGTCGGACTGCATACGTCATGACATCCTAGAGGGCGTGGGAGAGACGGGAATCAAGTGTGGCGTCATCGGGGAAATCGGTTGTGCCTGGCCTCTGGAGGGTGAGTCATGACAAGTGGCTTAACCCCATTATTGTAAACGCTGACTGACTGAGATAAGGATTCGATGGACACAATGAATGACCTGTCTGACTATGTGTTATCGTACCCCGAGGGTATGGATTGCAGCTCCTGCTGTCAACAGCTAGTTTCCCAGCCCAGATTTGTGTATTTGATAACTGACTTCCATATTTTAGGTGTTTATGGAGGTAGTGTACAGTGTCCAAACTGATTTTTACGTGTATACGTTCATAAAGGCAAAAATCAATTTAAGTCAGTTCTTATGAATAAATAAGCCAACAGTAATAACTTCATCGACTGCTTATTTAACTAGTTACAAAAAAGTGTTGACAACGATACGAAATAAATTAATGCAATAGCTGACTACACCAATAGGTGATTACAACAATAGGTGACTACAACAATAGCTGACTACAACAATAGGTGACTACAACAATAGGTGATTACAACAATAGGTGACTACAACAATAGAAGACTACACCAATAGCTGACTACACCAATAGGTGATTACAACAATAGGTGACTACAACAATAGGTGACTACAACAATAGGTGACTACAACAATAGGTGACTACAACAATAGATGACTAAAACAATAGGTAACTACAACAATAGGTGATTACAGCAACAGGTGACTACACCAATAGGTGACTACAACAACAGATGACTACAACAATAGGTGACTACAACAATAGGTGACTACAACAATAGATGACTACAACAATAGATGACTACAACAATAGGTGACTACAACAATAGGTGACTACAACAATAGGTGATTACAACAATAGGTGACTACACCAATAGGTGACTACAACAATAGGTGACTACACCAATAGGTGATTACAACAATAGGTGACTACAACAATAGGTGACTACAACAATAGATGACTACAACAATAGGTGACTACAACAATAGGTGACTACAACAACAGGTGACTTCACCAATAGGTGACTACAACAATAGGTGATTACAACAAGAGCTGACTACACCAATAGGTGATTACAACAATAGCTGACTACAACAATAGGTGATTACAACAAAACCTGACTACAACAATAGCTGATTACACCAATAGGTCATTACAACAATAGCTGACTACAACAATAGGTGATTACAACAAAAGCTGACTACAACAATAGGTGATTACAACAATAGCTGACTGCACCAATAGCTGACTACAACAATAGGTGACTACAACAACAGAACTTTTGTCTTCTGATATAGAATGTCCAAAAGGTAGCAAATTTGACACAGTGTCTCATCCGGAAGATATGCTTCTGTTGATGTTGTGTATGTAGGTTATGTGAGACGGATGTTCTCTAATGTGATTGGCTAAAACTAATAACAAGACATTGGTTAGAAACTAAATGATGGTAGCAGTGGCACATGCACTGAAGAACGCTGTGTAAGCTCCTTAGAAATGTCTTTGTGGTGCATTTGATGAACAACACGACATGTTTACAGAGTTTGAGAGACGGTCAATACAGGCCAGTGCAGTTGTCCAATCAGAGCTGGACACTCCAGTCATCATCCATCCTGGCCGTAATCCGGACGCACCTTTTGAGATTCTGAGAATATTCCAGGAAGCTGGAGGAAAGCTGCACAATGTAGTGATGTCTCATTTAGACAGTGAGTATATATCTGTATATCCAGTCTAGAGGAGGTGAATATATATCCTTACACCCTGTTAAATCAGTGTTAATGTCTTTATATCCAGTCTAGAGGAGGTGAATATATATCTTTACATCATGTCAATACAGTGTTAATGTCTTTATATCCAGTCTAGAAAAGGTGAATATATATCCTTACATCATGTCAATACAGTGTTAATGTCTTCATATCCAGTCTAGAGGAGGTGAATATATATCCTTACATCCTGTTAAATCAGTGTTAATGTCTTCATATCCAGTCTAGAAAAGGTGAATATATATCTTTACATCCTGTCAATACAATGTTTACTAGTCTTTATATCCTGTCTAGAAAAGGTGAATATATATCCTTACTAGTCAAGACAATGTTTATATGTCTTTTTGTCCAGTCTAGACAGTGAGCATATACCCTAATATTGAGTCTGGATAGTATAGACATCTTCCTACCACAAAGCACTTACCATTCTTACCATTCTTGAATTTCAGGAACTTTTGTGGACACGGAACATCATTCTGAAGTTTGCTGAAACACACGTACCTTGAATCAAACCCCTACCATTCTTGAATTTCAGGAACATTATGGACAAGGAACATCATTCTGAAGTTTGCTGAAACACACGTACCTTGAATCAAACCCCTACCATTCTTGAATTTCAGGAACATTATGGACAAGGAACATCATTCTGAAGTTTGCTGCAACACGTACCTTGAATGAAACCCCTACCATTCTTGAATTGCAGGAACATTATGGACAAGGAACGCCTGCTGGAGTTTGCTGTAATACACCTACTTTCACTACAAACACTAACCATTATTGAATTGCAGGAACAATTTTTGATAAGGAACGCCTTCTGGAGTTTGCTGCTGAAGGTGTCTACTGCGAGTATGACCTGTTTGGCATTGAGACATCCCACTACCAGCCCACACCCTCCATCGATATGGTCAGCGACGCTCAGAGAATCCAGATGATCAAGGTCTTGGTGGACAATGGCTATGAGGACAGAATCTGTATTGCACAGGATATACACACCAAACACAGACTGGTATGTAGGCCTTAAGGTGGTATAGGTGGTGATTGTTGAATAATACTAAAGAGTGTAATATAGTGCTATATGTTTGTCGTCCTGAAGTCTGTAGGTACCACATCATGAAAGTAATTGATGCACCAAAACATTGACAGGTTCATCTGAGGTGAGGTGAAATGGGGTTTAACGTCGCGTCCAAGATTATTGCACTTATATAGCGACGTGCACGTGTGTGTGTGCGTGCCTCCCTGCCTGCCAGCTGATGTGGTGTGGTGAGGTGAGGTGAGGTGAGGTGAGGTGAGGTGAGGTGAAATGGGATTTAATGGTGCATTCAAGATTATTGCACTTATATAGCATGTGTCTGTGTCACTGTGTGTCTTTGTGTCTCTATGTGTTTGTTCTAGTGGGGACTAATGCTGTTTATATAGTGCTAGCCCACCGAGATACCATGCCACATGAATACCCCACTCAGACACAGTATACTGACTCCGAGCCAACCAGTCCTTGCTTTAACCCCTTAATGCCGAGCGCCAGACAGGGTAACAACAAGTACCATCTTTTAACGTCTTTTGGTATGACGTGGCCGTGGATCGAACCTCGGACCTTCCGCTCTCCGGGCGGACGCTCTACCACTAGACCACGGAGGCGGTCGGTTCATCTGAGAGTCTTCAGTCTAGCGTAGAACCTCACATTAATGTAAGTTTGTTGTATTGAGTGAGTGAGTGAGTGAGTGACTGAATCATGTGTACTTCTGCAGTCGGCAATAGTACAGATATATCGTGGAAGTAATCCAATATGGACCAGAGGTTGATAGAATGAACATCCTTGTCAGGGAAAAATGACAATATCAGTCAAGTCACACATTGCAATCATATGATCAGTTTGGGACCTGCATTCTGTTTGGAATACCTACAGGTAGAAGTGCTCGGCATTATACAAAGATTTGAATATACTAATGAATATGGATTACAGTATGTTTGGAAAATACTGGGACGGTGAGGTAGCCTAGTGGTTAAAGCATTCACTCGTCATGCTGTAGGCCTGGGTTCGAATGCCCACATAGGTACAATGTGTGAATCCCATTTCTGGTGTCCCTGCCATGATATTGCTGGAATATCGCTAATAGCAGCATAAAATCCAACTCACTCACTCACTGGATAATACTGGTATAATGTTTATTTGAAATTCATGCATATTTTATAGCATAACCAATTTCAAGAAATGCCTGCAGTATATTTTTTAACGTATCGCAATACATATATAATTATTGCAATAAATTGCAATATGAAAGTTGGGCCAATACCCATCACTACCGACAGGTGTCAGATCTATTTGTTAAACATCTTGTTGAGTGACATTCATGAAAGAAATCATATATCTAACCAGTGAGCCAGTAGCCAATCCCACAGCAAACATTACTGGCTCTCCACATTCAACATGAAGTATAGAAGAGTAACTTAGAAACTTGGACAATAAGACACTAAAATAAAAACAGTATTACAGTCTCTAAAGATTAAATCCAACTTCACTCTTACATTTGCCATCAGCACCTTTCTAAGGCAGTTTGAACTTATTTGCACCCCTAAAGAAATTGTACAACTTTGATTGTGCCATCATATTTTCTAATCCACACATCCCAATATTGCGGCAGTAATAATGATGGGGTGTGTACTGTAAAGTCTAATATGATTGGCTGAGGAGGCAGTCATCCAGTTGCATTACTGTTTTAAAAGTACTTTGGGAGTGCTATAAAACATCATATCTGCTGGTTAGTTCTATGGCCAGCAGGACCGCCTCCGTGGTCTAGTGGTAGAGCATCCGCCCGGAGAGCGGAAGGTCCGGGGTTCGATCCCCAGCTGCGTCATACCAAAAGACGTTAAAAGATGGTACTTGTTGTTACCCTGTCTGGCACCCAGCATTAAGGGGTATTCATGTTAAACTGCGGCATGGTATCTCAGTGTGCTAGCACTATAAATCCGCATCAGTCCGGACTAGTACAAGCAGCCACACACACATACACGTGCATGCACGTCGCTATATAAGTGCAATAATCTTGGACGCGATGTTAAACCCCATTTCACCTCACCTTATCCTCTATGGTCAGCACATATTAGACATGAAGTAGTTATGTAATTATGGGACCAATACGAAATAAGTAAGTGAGAAAAGTGTATATGTTTTATCATTTGTTTAAACTTCGAACTTCAAAATGTTATACAAGACAGGCGGGATTAGAGTTTTGACAGATTGCTGTCTTCCCCTAAAAAAGTACTGGTAACAGGAGAACGGGAAGGCAGCTGTTTCAAATGAGTCCAATATAATACTGTTGTTGTTTTTCCAATTATTACCAATCCATGTTTTAGGGGTTAATATTTCGTTATTTCTTTTACAGACCAAATATGGCGGACATGGTTTTTCGCATAACTTGATCAACATTGTCCCCAAGATGCTCAACAGGGGAATATCTCAAGAAGCTGTGAATAAAATCTTGATAGAAAACCCCAAAAGATGGCTCACTTACCAAAGATAATTAATCAGAATTATCTTAATATTTTGAATATTTTACCGTGCCCCAATCTCATTAAAATCAGACCTTAGTTCTCGCTACCGCTAAACAAAGATTTGAAGACATCCCATTAGGGGTCACGTCAGAACGACCATTCATCCGACCAATGAGAGCGTCGCTTACCAGATCATGAAAGTGACAGTCGGAATGTGATTTCTAATCATACAACTTCGAAAACTTTAACACGGGGTATCCGAACGATAGTTACAGGTTTAACGACTGAATCCATACAATCTCGACCATCTATTAGCCATTCCAGAATGTTCTTTTGTTTAGGTTTCAAATTTGTAATCGAGAATTTGTCAAAATATGGTTCAAGCGTAGTCGCCAATTTGAAATTAGTGCCGTAAAGTACAAGAAAGCTGCCTTCTGAGTGGTCATTCTATTGGTCGGTCAAAGTTCGCGCAAGGTCGTTCTGACGTGACCCGATTTGGGATGTCATCAGATCTTTGTTTAGCGGCAGCGAGAACTAAAGTCTGATTTGAATGAGATTGACCGTGCCCAGTCCTTGATCTTCCTGCCTGCTCAACACTGTGTTACAGAGGGTCGGACACATGTCTTTGAAGGGTTGAAGGCCAGAAGAAGTCTCAGACACGATTCAGTGTTGGCACCTACACCAACTCACTCACTCCCTCTGGGTTTGATTACTCTATGGGTAAAGTGTGTGAACCCATTCTTTGTGTCCCCTGCCGTGATGTTGCTGGAATTCCGGCATTGCTAGCAGTGTAAAACCCAACTCACTCACTCACTCACTCACTCTGGGTTTGATTCCTCCATGGGTACAATGTGTGAACCCATTCTTTGTCTCCCCTGCCGTGATGTTGCTGGAATACCGGTATTGCTAGCAGAGTAAAACCCAAATCACTCACTCACTCTGGGTTTGATTCCTCCATGGGTACAATGTGTGAGCCCATTCTTTGTGTCCCCTGCCGTGATGTTGCTGGAATACCGGTATTGCTAGCAGTGTAAAAACCCAAATCACTCACTCACTCTGGGTTTGATTCCTCCATGGGTACAATGTGTGAGCCCATTCTTTGTGTCCCCTGCCATGATGTTGCTGGAATACCGGTATTGCTAGCAGTGTAAAAACCCAAATCACTCACTCACTCTGGGTTTGATTCCTCCATGGGTAAAATTTGTGAACCCATTCTTTGTGTCCCCTGCCGTGATGTTGCTGGAATACCGGCCTTGCTAGCAGTGTACAACCCAACTCACTCACTCACTCACTCACTCACTCACTCACTCACTCACTCACTCACTCACTCACTCACTCACTCACTCACTCACTCACTCACTCACTCACTCACTCACTCACTCACTCTGGGTTTGATTCCTCCATGGGTACAATGTGTGAACCCATTCTTTGTGTCCCCTGCCGTGATGTTGCTGGAATACCGGTATTGCTAGCAGAGTAAAACCCAAATCACTCACTCACTCACTCACTCACTCACTCACTCACTCACTCACTCACTCACTCACTCACTCACTCACTCACTCACTCACTCACTCACTCACTCACTCACTCACTCTGGGTTTGATTCCTCCATGGGTACAATGTGTGAACCCATTCTTTGTCTCCCCTGCCGTGATGTTGCTGGAATACTGGTATTGCTAGCAGAGTAAAACCCAAATCACTCCCTCACTCTGGGTTTGATTCCTCCATGGGTACAATGTGTGAGCCCATTCTTTGTGTCCCCTGCCGTGATGTTGCTGGAATACCGGCCTTGCTAGCAGTGTAAAACCCAAATCACTCACTCACTCTGGGTTTGATTCCTCGATTGGTACAATGTGTGAACCCATTCTTTGTGTCCCCTGCCATGATGTTGCTGGAATACCGGTATTGCTAGCAGTGTAAAACCCAAATCACTCACTCACTCTGGGTTTGATTCCTCCATAGGGTACAATGTGTGAACCCATTCTTTGTGTCCCCTGCCGTGATGTTACCAGAATACCGGCATTCCTAGCAGTGTAAAACCCAACTCACTCACTAGTCTATATCTTCAGCAATATGATTTTGGAAATTGTCAATATTCACCGGTTTGTATCCACTACGTTCCTCCATCACCCATGAAGACATACGGGTACATGGATATGTGGCATGGCAGTGATGAGTGTATGTTTTTCGTAAGGATTTGATATGAGGTCGTTATTACTTACGATAAGTCGAATGATCATTTTGCCAATCATGTCTTTGCCTACCATTAAAGTAACGTATGGAGCAGACGGTAACAACCGGGGTCAAATCCAGGTACACGGCTCCCTTTGGAGTAGTGGTTCATGTAAAATAGCTAGATTTTGGAAGAAAACAACTCGGACTAACGGACAAGTGGCCGTGTCTATCCCTGCACAAGACCATTGCACATGTGGTGAACGTTACAAATGTTATATTTGGGATAACATGTTCTTAGTAAAGTACAGATTCTTTTAGTTTTTGGGGTTGAGTCCCATCCAGGATTTGAACCCACACTGCCAGAGTGAGGCACCTAATAGCTAGCACACAAAGTGGGTTCGATCGCTGACTTTGTGTGCTGGCGATTAGGTGCCTCACTCTGGCGGTGTGGGTTTGAAACCCGGACGGGACTCAACCCCAAAAAGTACAAGAATCTGTACTTTACTAAGTAAGTGTTATCCCAAATATAACATTTGTCCACTTTTTAAATGGCTTGTGTGTTCGTGGTGAACGTTGTCAGTCAGCCAGACACTGTTGTTTATGCAATGCAAGCAGAGGGCTCATTGGACAGAACACTCTCTGCCTTCCCTCGTCTCTTGATTGGTTGGTTAAAAATAGCATTGCCTCATAGCGACTGTATGTATTCATATGTGATGGAGGGCACCATAATGATAACATCTGATGGATTTCAGATGAAGTGTATGTTACTGAGGCTGTTGTGTTATATCTATGGAGAGTTTAAGACTGTTATTTACTTGACTGTTGTATGTTGGTGTTTCAGGGAATATTGTTACCAGTATGTTAACCAGTGCCTTGTTTATTTTCAGAGAATTTACTGTCCCATTAGGTATGTTGTTGTGTGTGTTAAGTTTTTGTAGATTAGACAGAAAAGATAATTCCATCTACATCATAACAACCCTTGAAGATCCGGGTGAGAATAGGTCTTCAGCAACCCATGCTTGCCGGAAAAGTCGACCAACCAACCAACTACATCATAACGCCGAACTCAGCAATGTTCCAGCTATATGACAGCAGTAAATAATCAAGTCTGGACCAGATAATCCAGTGATTGATAACATGAGCATCAATCCCTGCAATTGGGATATGATGACATGCATCAACCCAGTCAGCGAGCCTGACCACCCGATCCCGTTTGTTGCTTCTTACGACAAGCATAGTCGCCTTTTACGTCAAGCATTGGTTGCTGAAAACCTATTCTACCCCGGATCTTCATGGCTTGATATGAAGTGGTCAAGGATGTGCTATATCACTTCACATGTTATGGGATACTTTGACAAACATTACCTAGGTGTTATAAATCTAAACACTGGGTATGGATATATTAATAACTTATACACCAAATATTCTATATGAAATATATCAAAAACATTACATGTGATATGCCACCAAACATTCTATATGTGATGTATTGGTAGACGGCATGGGTGTGATATATCTACCAAACATTTGTAATTGTGATATCTACCAAACTTTATACAGGTATAGGTGTGATATGCCACCAAACATTATACATGTGATGTATTGGTAGATGTCATGGGTGTGATATATCTACCAAACATTATACAGGTATAGATGTGATATGTCACCAAACATTAAACATGTTATGTATTGGTAGATGTCATCGGTGTGATATATCTACCAAACATATATACAGGTATAGGTGTGATATGCCACCAAACATTTTACATGTGATGTATTAGTAGACTTTGTTGTACTCTTCACCAATGTATCGCCAAACAATATATATGTGATATATCGCCAAACATAACAGATGTGATATATCGCCAAACATAACAGATGTGATATATCACCAAACAATAGAGATGTGATATATCACCAAACAATAGAAATGTGATATATCAACAAACAACAGATGTGATATATCACCAAACAATAGAGATGTGATATATCAACAAACAATTGAGATGTGATATATCACCAAACAATTGAGATGTGATATATCACATAACTTCCAGGGTTTCAGACACTGAAATGATGGTGTAAAACATTGTTTTGTCACAGTTATCCAAGAGCTAATCAACAGTTCTCCAAGAGTCAATCAACAGTTATCCAAGAGCCAATCAACATTGTTTTGTCTCAGTTATCCAAGAGTCAATCAACATTTTTTTGTCTCCGTTATCCAAGAGTCAATCAACAGTTATCTAAGAGCCAATCAACATTGTTTAGTCTCAGTTATTCAAGAGTCAGTCAACATTGTTTTGTCCATATGTAATATGCCAACTTTCAAAATATGTGGTATTTGTAAAAGACACAGCTTTGTTTTTTGCGTTATAACTCATATTAAGGGAAATAAAGTCTGTTTATCGTACCAAACAATGTCCACATTTCATTTATGTTCCTGCCTTGGCATGAAAACCTCCAGGTCTTCATGATGTCCGCACATGCATCACCAGAGGAATAGGGCATCTTCCAGAGGCAAGGGCGTTAACTGACTATAAAAGTCCAGTTTCCACCCTTGCCGAACTAGGCTGGAATTTTCTGAGCTTGATCGTAGCGCCACCAGTGGCTATTACTAGTTACGTTCCTTCTATGTGACCAATCAGATTCCGCCTCTCATATCACTTGCATTTGCTTCAAACAAAATTCCGGTTCCCTGTCAAGAGTATCTCATCGATAATCAAGATCTATATTGTGATAAAACGGGTGTTACTTTGTGATGAGCATCGAATCACGTAAGCACCTTGATTAAAAACATGATAAGATTTGGAAAATATCTGCTGATGCCAATTTGGTGTTACACATGCTTCACAAATCCTTCAATTGACCAAAATCTGCACAGGAGTTAAGGAACCAAATGTCAATTTCGTTACACAATTTTGATGATGATGATGATGACTATGCATAAACTCATTAGTCCAGCCAAAATATAACCACATAATTCCAGCCTAGTTCGGCAAGAGTGGGAACAGGACTTTTACAGTCAGTTAACTCCCTTGCCTTGGGAACTGGACTTCTACAGTCAGTTTACTCCCTCGCCTTGGGAACTGGACTTCTACAGTCAGTTAACTCCCTCGCCTT